GGGGCGGGGGGAGGGTAGCGGGGAAGCCCTGGCGGGCACCTTCCGTCCCTGCGAGCCAACGCTGGAGGCGTGGGTACTGCTAGCTTGTCAGGAGTCGCCTCGCCTCGTCTCTGCGGTTTACTCGGTGGCTCAGAGGTGCGTGACCGGAGAGGGGCGCTGCCCCCTGCAGTGGAGGGCGCCGCGTGCGCGGGGGCCTCTCGGCGGGAAGGCGACGCCGGCGCGCACTAACCTGCGGTGCTCACCACGTACTTCCACTTGACCACGTAGGCGTCCCCCTCGTGGAACTGCCCGGTGCTCTGTTTGGGGAGCCTGCTGTAGTCGAACTCGAGGATGTGCCAGACGTCCACGGAGACGCTGGAGATCTCGAACTGCCTCCCGTCCGGCCCCTCCACCAGGCCGTAGCCGCGGCCCACGTTCACGCCATCCAGGACGGTGCCCGCCGTCGTCTGGGGCAGGGGCACCATCCGCGTCACGTCGTAGGGTTTGACATCGGCCCTGGGGTCTTCCTACGAGGGAACGTGAAAACATGAGGTCAGCTGCCTCTGCTTCCACAGCCTGTCCTTGTCACCCTCGATGCCGCGTCAGCCGTTCAGGGCGGCGCAGAAGCACAGCTTTCGCACGGTGTCTCAGGCGCCTGACTGCACGGAGCGGAGGCCCCGGGAGGGACCCGGGGGCCCAGATTCCCGTTGCCGCGGGAGTGCGAGGGACATCTGAGAGCAGGTGCAAACGGGGCTATTTTCACTGTCCCGAGTTAGGTTATAATTGGAGACCAGTTTGCTGTTCTACCAGCGAATCCTCGGAAGGCTTCTTAGCGTAAAGGACACTTTTGTCTGTGTGTTTATTTATTTTTTAAAAATTAATTAACGCATTGCAATTATCCATATTTATGGGGTACAATTTGATATTTTAATGCATGTGTTTGCTGTATGAGGAACGGATGGGAGAGGGAAGATGGGAGAGGTTGGTCATTGGGTACAAAGTGACAATTAGCTTGAACAATAAGCTCTGGTGTCCTGTTGCAGAGAAGGGCGACCATGGCAAGCAGTCAGGTACTGTATATCACAGAATAGCTAGAAGAGGGGTTTCTAATGTTCTCCCCACAAAGAAACGAAACCTCCGCGAGGCGATGCACACGCCGCCCACCCCGACTCGGTCCTCACACACTGACACCACTCGTGCTGGGACTCGCACCGCGCCCAGAGTTTGAGGCTCCAGCACCCAGACTACCTTCTGCTGGGCGAGTTCCCCGGCGTTCTTCTCACTAGGTCTCTTCAGTTCAGTCCAATCCAGAAACTTCTCTTTGAATAAAATAGTCTCATTGTGCTCAGTAAGTCTCCCAAATATGGCCCAATCCGGCCGCCCCTGTCCTTTTCTGCAGGGTGGGGGGAAGACAGGAAAAAAACCAAGATTAAGCCGTGACACGAAGGAATCTAAAACCAACAGACGAGGCTGCTGAAGAAAGAAGAACTCAAAATACGTAAGTGGTATATAAAACGAATGGCTTCTTTTCACTTATTTGAGTGACATTTTATTATTTTAGCCCGAAGCCTTGCAAGGCTTTGTGTCCATGGAGTTGATGTGCCTGAATGTGACATGAAACATGTCAGGACTGGATTCTTCTTGCATTCTAGCAAGTTCTTTGGGACCTTGGCAAAGGCAGGAGCCGTGTGCACACCTTACCCACCTACTTCGTGCTGCCAGACACCCGCCAGTGCTTACCGAGTCTCCCTCCAGTGATCTAACAGACCGGAAGAAGGCGTCACTCATCCCGAGTCCTCTATTGTTTTACGTCCCGTTACAGCGAAGCTCTCCGGAGTATGGAGATCTCCTCTGTTACCAAAATGAACACACTTTCCTGCCTCATAGAGGGAAGCTCTGCACATTTCTTTCTAGGCCACCGGCCATGGCAGCAGGTGGGTGAGCACAAGGACACAGGGACGGACAGGACACAGACCAACGTGGAGGTCTTGTGCGGTCTCAGGATTTAGAATTTGACACTGTGGCCAAGAACACGGGTGATCTAGAAAAGGGTAGAGCTGAGAAAGAACATGCTGTCGGGGTGCAGCCCTGAGAATAACATGCAGGCCTTTCTGGTCCCTCCAGATCAGTCTCTGGTCGTGAATGGGGCCCATTGGCCCGACTGCTGTGACCCTGTCTCAGTCACCTCCTGTCTGGTCAGGACTGCAGTGTCTGACGTTACGGCTGAGGCACATCAAAAAGGCTGCCTGTTTCAAAGGAAGCCGGAAGGCTAAAGCACAGAACACAAATACTTGCGCCTCATGCTCTCTTGGGACTTTGGGAATCAAACATCAGCGACTATGGGAAATTCACGGCTGCCTTGAAAGGTGGCGGCTCTTCTATCAAAAAGTATCTGAATGACTGTCTTTTAGGTAAATCCTATTGTGCAGACTTGCTAAGATGACTACAGAAAGGGCTCTTGGCTCCTGCTTTAGAAATCTGTCTTTTATGATTTGAGGCAAGTGCCCCAGAAGATTGCAGCGCGGGGGGTATGAACCCCGAGACGGAGCCAGGTGTGTTTCTCTGCCTCCTTCCCGGACTTACCTGTTGGAACTGGGCTCAGCAGTTTCAGACTCCTTGTGTTTTAGCAGGTGCTGGGTGTGTAACTGTGGCTGCACCTCGACATCCTGGGAGCTCGTAAGACACACTGACACACGGGCCCCACCCCACGTGAACTGAAAACACATCCCCGGGCTGCGCCCAGCCAGCACAGTTCTTTAAAATCTCTTCAGATGTTGGAAACCAGTGGGTTAGGTGCTCACTCATCTACTTGCACTAATGCGATTATGTGACTGCGATTATGTCACTATTAAATATAAACTGGTCATCATATAGATTTTGTGCATCAGCACTAATTTTTTCTTTTACTACACCAAATAAAATGATATTTTTAGTCAGAGTGTCAGTTCTTAAAACACCGGTTGTAACAGTGCTGATGTTAAATGTGCATTTGCTTAA